GGTTGGGATCTTCCTGTTCCAGTCGCCCAGCTATCTAGGACTACAGACCTGTTTAGGTTGGCTGGGTACTGAACCCTGGCCTCTCAGTAGCATTTCAATAGCAATGTACCACTGTAGCTGAGATGGAAGTCTCAGGCCTTCTTCAATAGACTCCAGAGTTCCAAAATCATTATATCAGGTAGATTCTGCCAGTGCAACTGTCATCTACATGGGGGGAGGGGAAGGGAGACAGATTCCTGGTGCTTTCACCTCTACCATCTTCCCAGAATCCTTCACTTGGTAGTATTTTTGCTAATCCAGAAGAAACATTTGAAAAAAAAAAAAATGTGTTTCTGGCCACCTCTCGGTGAGGAGATAGAAGGCAAAGCCCAGGACCTGAATAACATGTGTATATATCAGGGGAGGACTGTCTGATCACTTCTCCACACATCAAGCAGGAAGCCTCTTGCAGTGACTTGAAGCCTGGATTCAGTCACCTACAGTATCAAGGAAGCTTAGGTCTTAAATTTGGATTAAGATGTTTCTAGGCTAGAATGCCTACATGTACCTGACTGACACAAACAAAAAGCCTCTCTAAAGAAAGGTATCTTCCCCTAGGCCTCAAATTATTTCTACAAGTAATTTTCCAAATATAATGTACTGCTTATAAATAACTTGGCATATAAGGAGGAAGAAATCATAAGTGAGAACCAACAGATATAATGGATAACACAAATACTTCATTTATTGGAATAAAACAATTTACTTAATTTAAAGAACATACAGTCAGGAAATATTTTGAGAACACAGCAGTATAAAAAGTGATGCATTTGGGGTCCAGTAGGTGGTGAGGTGGTTAAGGCACTGGACTGCCACATGTCTGACCACAGTTCAAGTCCCAGACCTAGTGGCTTGCTTTTTCACTTTTCCTCGCAATGTCCCTCTCTGGTCAAATTAAAAAATAATGATATAAATAAAGTTAAATAGTTCTTTTTTAAAAAATGGTATATTTTAAAAAGTACCAAGTAGAATTCTAATAAGTATAGTGTCTGAGATAAAAAGCTCAGTTAATAAGTTTGATAGCAAATAAGACACAGAGAAAGAGAAAATGAGTAAAGTGGAAAGTGGGTCAGAAGACGTTATCAAAAATGCAGCATAGGGACCAGCAGGTGGTGTAATGGTTATATCACTGGACTTACATATAGTCAAATGCAGTTCAAGTCCCAGATACAGCAGCTTAAAATTCATGCCAGGGCATGTGTGTATGTGTCCAAAATCCTGAGAAGAGACTGAAGGAGATGGCATGGCCATCCCACCTTGGGAGTGATTTCTGTGTCTCTCTGTCTCACCAGGGAGGGCATATGCCCCATAGAAAAAAATCCTTTATAAAAAAAAAGGCAGCATAAACAAAATGTTGAGTGTATGAGATATAAAAGATAGAGAAGGCCTAATAGATATGATCTATGATTTGGAAACAAGATTGTAGAGTGACGATACTTCATTGGGAGGTGCTTTCTTCTCTCTCTCTTGCTCTCTCTCTCACACAAGCACATGTGCCCTCTGGCAATTAAAAAAGAGACAACAACAACAACAGAGAGTGGAAAAGAGGCAATATTTGAAGAATGCTTAAGAATAGCTACCACCCTATTGACACCTCCAAGAGAGACTAGAAAGTTATCAATATGTTAAGGGATGATTAAAGGAGAACTCTAGAAAGTCAGCAGGGATATCAAGAACAAAACAGTATTTTAATTAAATATAACCCTGAATGCTGAGGTGTCATGGTATTCCTTTTAACTTGCATGCAAAAAAGGAAAAAAAAGTTGGATAAACTATTAAAAGCAGAAATAATTACACTGTATTTGTAGTCTCCAGTTCCTATATAAATATAGTCACTCAATAAATTACTTGGGTTCTTGTTATTATTACTTACAGAGCAGAGGTATCTGAACACTCTTGATAGATAAGGGAAGAATGGAAACTTTAGTTACTGAGGTAGTTTCTGGAGAGGAAAGAATGAGAAATGGTACTGTTAACTTTTCTTTTTTTAATTATTTAATTTTATTATTATTATTATTATTATTTGCTACAGGGTACACATGCTTACCAGAGAGAGACAGAGACAGACAAAAAGCAAGCTGCCAGGTCCCGGACTCAAACAGTGGTCAGCCATGTGGAAGTTTAGTGCCCCAACCACCACTCCACCTGCTGACCCCAACTTATCTTTTCTTACATAAATAAAACTCGAAGATAAAACATCAAGTTAGAAACACTAAACAAAGCCTGTTGTTCTATGCTAGAAGGAAAAAATATTTGTGGTAAGACTTGTGGAAGTCTTCCAACCCAGCATTTTTTCCTATCTTACGTAGAAGAGCATTACAAAGCAGTATTAAAAGGACAGGGGCTAGGTAGGTAGTATAGTAGTAACATGTTCAAGAGATGCTAGGTTCCTAGGTTTGGTTCCTAAGTCAACCTGTACATGCTGATCTCAAACATTCATGATTCTGACTGGTTAGGAAGGCTAGAGGAGGATTATCAGACCTTCTTGAGGGGCCTTCTCTCATACCCATAAAAGAAATAAATAAACTTCATATTAAAAAAAATTAAAAAACAGGAAGATAAATACTTTATGTATGATATGGTCAGGTCTTAGGTAAAGGGGAATCAAATTCCAGAAAACTCTGAATCCTAGGACTCTAGGTAGCCTATTTCTTTTTTATTTATTTATTTATTTATTTATTTATTTATTTATTTATTTATTTATTTATTTATTTATTTATTTATTTATTTATTTATTTATTTATTTATTTATTTATTTATTTATTTATTTATTTATTTATTTATTTATTTTTGGAGAGGTTTTTGCTATAGGGCGCGTGCGCTAGCCAGACAGACAGAGAGAGACAGAGAGATAGAAAGCGAGAAATCACCCCCCAGGGGAGATGGCCATGCCGCAATCCCTTCTCCTCCATTCTCCTCTTGGGATCTTGGGCGCGCAAGCACACGTGCCCAGTGTGAGTTGAAGCCACCGGGTTTGGGACATGAACCACAGTTGACTACGTGGGAGTCAAACGACATAGCCATTGCGCTAACTGCTGGTCCCAGCCTATTTCTTTTATTTCATTCTCTTCCTTCATTGTAGATAGCCCTCTGTTCCCTTTAAGTGATTGTTGAAAGCAACAGGGACAAGAAAATTTCTCCCTTTTGACTGACTAACAATCATGCAGAGTATCAACATGCTATTAAAAGTTCTTTCCCAGGTTTCCCCTCAAGATAAGAAATAGGGGTAAGCAGGTGGCATGGACGCTCTGGACTCCCACATGGCCAACTGTAGTTCAAGTTCTAGATCTAGCAGCTTGCTTTCTCACTTTCTATCTTTCTCTCTCTCTCTCTCTCTCAAGCACATGCGCCCTATAGCAAACTTTAAAATAGCAATAAATTAAATTAAATAATATTTTTAAAAAGATAAGAAACATACATGTACATATGCATAATGTATAACTGGTCTCTCTGATGTGTCTTGCTATACTACTGCAAATTAATTATATGAAGATAAGATTTAGGTTAGAAAATTCTAATTCTTCTTCTGTTATATTAATTCATTCCTTTTTTTTTTTTTAAGAGAGATTCATGTTATAGGGCGTATACACTCGCTAGAGAGATGAAAAGACAGAAAGCAAGAAATCACCTTTTACTCCATTCTACTCTCCAGATTTTGGGCATGCATGCACATGTGCTTGGTGTGGGTTTTAAGCCACCGAGTTGGGAGTAGAACCACGGTCAACTACGTGGGAGCCCAGTGACATAACCATTATGCCATCTTCTGGTTCCATTAATTCTTCATTTTCCATCTTTAAAATTAGAAAAATGAAGGTTTCAGTGGTAGCAGGTGACACAGTGTTTAAGGTGCTGGACTCCCACATGGGCCAGCACAGTATAAGTCCCAGACCTGGCAGCTTGAAAATCATGCTGGTGCCATGTGCATGAGTGCCCAAAATCCTGAAAGAATGGAAGAGAAGGCATTGCAGTGTGGCCATCATCCCCTCTGGAGGGTGATTTCTCACTTTCTTTCTCTCCATCTCTCTATAGGCACATGCCCTATTAGTAAAAATCTCTTTAAAAAAAAAAAAAGAAAGAAAGAAAAGTGAAGGTTTGTGAGAGTATTTTAAATGGTATTTCACAAAAAAACTAAACTCTTATAGTCATTGAAGAAGGTAAAATAAACCCCATGACCATGGTGAGGATCACCACTAGCACTTGAATCTAGCAAGTGACATTATTGGCATGCTTATTTAAGCAGAAGTTACAGGTGGCTAAGACAAAAAATTATTGAGACCAGCAGATGGCATAATGGTTACATCACTGGACTCCCACATAATCAACTGTGGTTCAAGTCCCGGACCCAGCAACTTAAAACTCACGTCGGGCCCATGTGCATGAGTGCCCAAGATTCCAAGAGGAGAATGGAGTAAAAGGTATTACAGCATGGCCATCCCCCCAGAGGGTGATTTCTCATTGTCTATCTGTCTCTGTCTGGCAAGTACAAACACCCTATAGAAAAAAAAAAAATCTCTCAAAAAACAAAAAAGACAAAAATTACCAACATTAGGAAGTCTAGGGGTCTTGAATCTAGGAATAAGTTGGAAAATCACTTGTTGCACAAAGTCAGAGTATTCTGTTTGGGAATGGAATGGCCAAGGAGACCACTGCCACTTTTGGTACACAGATAGATACCTGAATGTGCAAACCTTGTAGGTGAACATTGAGTTCAGATTAGTTAAACAAATTGAAGCCTGTAAGTTCCTAATTATCTGTTCAGCTTTGTGGTACCTCAAGTCTTGCCCTTAGGGGAATTTTCTACATCCAGTTTTATAGAACTTTGTACTAACATAATTAAATTAAGAGAATATATAATGTATGCCACCAAATACTTTCATAGAGCCATTAATAAACCCAATCAGCTGTAATGTATGTTTGTGAAGGAATGTATTTTCTCATGTTTATTTTTCTTCCTATCAAAGATTTGCACAATTCCGAATTGTTCTTGGAGATTTTAATTTTGCTGGTATTCAGCAAGCCAATCGCATCCTGGGACCCATTTACTTCATCACTTTCATCTTTTTTGTATTCTTTGTCCTACTGGTAAGAATAACCATAATATCTTGTTTGGTTTTGCTTACTTTTTAAGAATTATTTTTTATTTTATTTTACTCATCATTGTTATTTTTTAATTAGACCAGAGAGGCAGAAAGCGAGAAGGAAGGTGAGAAAGCTAGCCACAAGGCCTGGGACTCAAACTGTGGTTGGCCATGTGGGAGTCCAGTACCTTAACCACTGTGCCACCTACTGGCCCTTTCCTTACATTTTTTTTAAGGATAAAAAAGTTACTTATTTAAAAAAAATTATAGTATTCTGCTTGGCTGTCAGAATACTTTACACTTATTACAAATGGTGCCAGCAGCTTGGAAAACATGCTGAATGCACGTGTATGCATGTCCAAAATCTACAAAGAAGTGAGAAATGGAGAAGAAAGAATTATTGTGACAGTTCTCAGTGGGAGTGCTTTCTCACGTTCTGTCTCTCTCTAGCAAGCACATATGCCATCTAGCAAATTAAAAAAAAAAGTGTGGGGGCTAGATGGTGGCATAACAAAAAAGTGTGGGGGCTAGGTGGTGGCATAACGATAGAGTACAATGTTCTGTGAGGCAGTCCCACATAGGAAGATCCCTAGTATGAGTCCAGAGGCCACAGAGGAAGGTTCCCAGTTCCCAGTTCCCAGAGGCCAAGTATGCCAGGCTCTTGCTTGCCCATGATCCAGCACTGGTTAAAGGATGGGGGGATGGGGGTGGACTGTGTTATAGAAACCCAGTTGGGGGTGCTGTCTCTAACTTAGGAAAGAAATGAGTAAGTGAAAAAAAATTTTTAAATGGTGTGAATCGGTAGTAATCTAGGATCTCTAGTCCAGACACTGTTTACAAGTTGTTCAATGGGAGAATGTGATTCTAATAGTTAGCTTCTACAAGGTCTGAACTGTGGATGTGCTAAACCCTTTAGAATTTGAATGCCATCAGCCCAGCATAGTAGGGCATCAGCTCTGCAATGCCAAAAGCTAGTATAAGACAGAAGATTCAGATCTCGGGTCGACATGAACATGCTGAATAGACAGGGTTTAGGAGGTGGGATTCATGGTGTGATGAGACCCTACTGAGGAGGCTGTCAGTCCGTCTCTCTATCGCTTATGACCCTTATGGTTGAAAGCTCCTTCTCTCTGATTTCTTGGAGTCACTAGGATTGGTCTCTCACATACCCTCAGAATAAGTCTATTTGGACTTTTAATCAAGGAACTTTGTCTTCCTTGTCAAGGCGCTGTTACTGACCTTCATGAAATCATTTTTTTGTCATTCATGGAAAATATCCCCTAATGATTGCCAGGAGTCCCAGAGTGACAGAGCTGGGCCACAGTGGAAGGTGCAGAGGTGGGCTGGGGATAAGAGTATCTTCTCCACATTTAAACATAAGTACTAGCAGGAGCACTAGTAAGATCATGAATTCAAGCAGCTTCTGGGAATCAAAAAGAAAACAAAGAAACTTTATGAATGTACAATTTTTCTAAGCTTTCTTCTAATGGGTAATATTAATAAGATATATTTAATATATATTCATAACCAGATCACATGTACTGTTTCACATTCTGCTTTTCTTATTTACCACTAACACACTTGCCCACATCCACATATCACACATTTATGATTCTACAACTGTAGTCTACCTAGCCATTTCCCTATTATTAAACATATGGATTATTTTTAAATCTTAGACCTAATTTTACAAATCCCAGCGTTTGTTAAGGTTACCGACTGTTGAGCTAAATTTTTATTGAAATAACTATTGGGATATTTCTCCCCAGAACATGTTCTTGGCAATAATTAATGATACCTATTCTGAAGTGAAAGCTGATTATACAGTACACAGAAAGCCAGATTTTGAACTTGGTAAAATGATTAAAAAGGTAAATGATATTCTTTTCCTAATTAGAATTAGACAAATCTTAATCAGTTTATACTCATGTAGGTTGAATAACACTTAAACCCCAAGTAGTGGTGTGGTTCCCCTCCCACCTGTGGTTTTTTGGTCCGGTATTACTAAGGTTTGAACATATTTTACTCATACTACTGAAGAAGTGACTGGCTTTTAAGCTGTAGCCAAAATTACTTCAGAGTTCAAGATATCAAAGAGTAATTAAGTTATTTACTAAATGCAAAGCACTATTTTGTATAATGAAACTCTTCCCTTCAAGAAGTTTTCAATTTAGATGCTGGTATTAAATAATCTAAATTCAGGGGTTTAAATAATCTATAAATAATAAATATTCTAAATTATTTATAATTAAATCATCTAAATTCAGAACTCCATGTGCCTGTCTTCCTCACTTTCCTGTTAATGGTAATAATTCTCTCAGTCATCTTGGGCCCAAAATCCTTGGAAGGACTTTTTATTCCCTGTCCCTTATGTGAGGTGTCCTACAAAAAGTTCGTGGACAACACATGTTATGAACAAACCATGTGTAGATTTCAAAAATATTCTGTACCAAAATAAACTTGTACTTTGACTTTCCTACAAACTTTAAAGTTCCCTTGTATAGTCTATTATCAAGGCTTATAGGTTGTTCTGCATGCACTTGTGGAATTCAAGGAAATTTTAAATTCTAACTTTTCATACAGCCTTCTGTATGTCTCTGGGACTCTGCTCATGTCATTCCTTGACCCCTGAAATATTCCACAGCTCTTCTCTCTCCTGATAACATAATATTCTCCTTGACAGAGTGGAATCTTCCCTGTCTTCCTCTTGACAACTACTTCACTTTGAGTTGTAACATATCCAAGTGTGTATTGGTTTCATTTCCTCCACGGGCGTGCCCATCTCTGCATATCCTGTGGCTATAAGCCTAACATTTTAGAGAAAAGTTCTAGTAGCTGTGGGGCTACTAGCATTTAATAAATGTCCAAGAATTTACCTTTTAAAAACAACCTGTTAAGCTGCCCCCCAAAATGAGTTAAACTGGGGGGTTCCTATCTTTTATCTCCTGAGTATGATTCTGGTTATGTGCATTCAAAGTGTTAACATCCTTAATGAAATGCATGTTAATACTTTTAAAAGATTTTTGTCTTTGGAAATTTAAATGTGATGCCTCCAAGAGAAGCTGTGTTGCTTTTGTCACCATGGGTGGGGACAAGGTAGAAAGCATAATCACACACAGCATTTCGCTTCAGTACTTCTTTAGGATAGTAGTCCTTCAACAAGCATTTAATATTTCTTTTACCTTAATCAAACAGTAATATATAGAGTATATTTTGATGAATCTTCAAACTATTTTTAATTATGCCCAGAGTTACAATAATGCTCTTGAAAAACTCAACCTGAAGAAAGCTCAAAAAAGCGAAGATGAGAAAACGTAAGATGACTTTTCTTAAATTTTTAACTTAGTATTTTAAAGTTCTTCTTTTATACAGGAAATTTATGAGAGTAAAGTTTTGATTGCAGAACAACCACAATCCTATGTGGTTATTCTAAAAACATTGTCAATACATCCATATCCAGTAGTGTCTCCTAATTTCTAAGAATATCGTGAAACCCTAATTTAAAATTAACATAATGCATGCCATACCACTCAAAGTTTTAAGAGAAAGCTACAGAGTAAAATCCCTGTAAAATAGCAGGTAACAATTTTAGTCTATTAAGTGCATTAATTTCAGTATCAAAATAAACACATATTCGGACCAGCAGATGGCATTATGGTTACGTTGTTGGACTCCCACGCAATCAATTGCGGTTTGAGTCCTGGATCCAGCAGCTTAACATTCATGCTGGACATATGTGTTTGTGTGCCCAAAATCCCAACAGGAAAATGGAGAAGGGATTGCAGTGTGACCATCCTCCCAGCAGATGTTTCTGTCCTGTCTCTCTCTGTCTCTCTGACAAGCACAAGCACCCTATAACAAAAATATCTCCAAAAATAAAAGAATAAAAACATTTTACACACAATACTTACAAATAATACTTACATTTATTGAATGATTCTGATGTCAAAATGCTTTCAAAACCAGGCTCCTGGCAGTAGGACAAAATAAAAACTTTTTAAAAAAATAGCTAACGGCGGGACCAGCAGAAGGCATAATGGTTACTTCAATGAACTCCCAGGTAGTCGACTGCTGTTGACTGCTATTCGAGTCCTACACCTGGTGGCTTGAAACTCACACCAGGCATGTGTGCATGCATGCCCAAAATCCAGAGAGGAGAATGGAGGAGAAGGGATTGTGGCATGGCCATCCCCCCAGAGGGTGATTTCTCACTTTCTGTTTCTGTCTCTGTTTCTCTGGCAAGTGCACGAACCCTACGGCAAAAATCTCTTAAAAAAGAAAAAAAACAGCCAATAGCATATGATATTCTGGAGAACTTTAATGATCACATTTTCCAAATTGACACTTATTATCAGAAAGTACAGAAATACAATCCTATACTTTCCTTTAGATCTGACTGTATCTTAAGGTGGCATTTCCTGTTTTACTGTCATATGCCTCTGATTTTTATTTTGTATTCTCAATAGCAAAAGCAGAAGAGATTTGGTTGAAGAAGCAAGAAGAGAAGGCTTCGACGAAAATGTAAGATTTAATTTTTTCATAAACACAAATGGGAACTGTATTAGAAATATGGTTACAAAATGTCTAATTGAAACAATTTGATTTTTTCAGAGCACTAGATGTTATACCCAAATAAATCTTCAGAATCTAGATCCTTTCTCACTTAGGACAAACCATTTAGATTGCAGATGCTCCCTCTTTTCTACTGGTACTCTCTACCCTGGTCCTACAGGTGTACATTCACTGTGGGATTATTACACTGAGTATTTATAGAGAGTACACTCTATTGAGAGGATTATATGAACGAACTTGTAGCAAATAAATTCAACAGTGTGGAATTTAAGGAATACATATGTGGAATATAAGAACTACATATCTCTACCACTTAATTAAAAAAAAAGGGGGGGGGAACATAGCTTTACTTCTGGTCACCATCCCTCCCTGCCCCTCAAATGCCCAGAGGACAATAGTGTCTTGAGAGACTAGAATAAGCAAACAAATAAATACACTGAAGTGAGGTTTCTCAGATAAGGGAGTCAGAAAAACGGAAAAGCTAAAGGTTGAAATGTACTGTGTGATACTGAATTAGAATTGTAGATGTGTGTGCACATATACATACATGTATTAATACTTTCCAATTCTGTTCACTAAGAGGGCTAAAAGAAAGGACACCCTAATAGCAATGAGTACAACTAGTATCCAGATCTTGGTTTCCAAATGCCATTGTATTCTGAAAGGGCTCCTTGGATATAGAGCTAATTCCAGGACTAGAAAGTTTGAGATGAGTCCGCACTATCTTGTTAGGCGACAAAGTTAAATATTCAAAAAATGGAGATCTGTAAAACAGACACAAAAGTCTGCTTAAAAAGGCTCAAACTTCAAATCTGGAATATTTAAGCATTATAAAAAATGCTGACTTATAGTCCATTGAGTAAAATAGGATTTCATTAGTCCATACTATTCTAAATAAATAAATGAACAGAAGTCTGATAAGGAGTGGGACATTTATATAATTCTGAACAAAATACTTTATTATGAAAAGAAAAATAATAATGTTGGTGGAGAAGTCTGGCACAGAACCTTTATTAAATAATCATAGTAGGGCTAGCTTTGTGATGTAGCAATAATGTGCTGCTCAAGACAAGCAGGATCTCTTGGGGCCAGCAGGTAGCATGGTGGTTAAGACACTAGACTCCCACATGGCCAACCAGTTTGAGTCCTGGACTTGGTGGCATCGAAAATCATGCCAGGCACATCATGTTTCTTCTCTCCTCTCTCAGGAGAGTGGAGGAGAAGGGATTGTGGCATGGCCATTCCCTTGAGAGGTGTTTTCTCACATTCCCTCTCACTATCTGTCCAGTGAGTGTACTTGCCCCATGGCAGAAAAATAAATAAATAAAAATGAAGAAAAAAGAGAGAGAGAGAAGCCAGATCTCACATAGTGACTACAGTTCGAATTTTCCACCTGAGCAGCCTCTGTAACATGCCAAATATGTGAACAAGTATCCAAGATTCAATGGGCTGGAAAACTGGAGGACAGGGATCATGAAGGTGCTCATCTCTCTCTCTCTTTCTACTGACTCTCACATGTGTGCCTACATACTCTATCATGAATAAAGAAAAAAGAAACTTAAAATAATCAAAGTCAACACCGTCAATAACCATGAGCCCAGCTGACTTAGACTTGGGGAAGGGAGAGGGTTGGGGATCACAACATCAGGACCCTATTACTATTAAGGTGTTATTCTCTCTCTCTCATAGAATAAAAAAAAAAAAAAACACACACACATAAAAAAAACCTTAACTGAAGAACATTCTATAGTATAACTGCTCTATAGTCTTCAAAAATGTCAAGGTATTGAAAGTTGGGGTGGGGACCAGCAGTTGGCATAATGGCTATGTCGCTGGACTCCCATGTAGTCGACTGTGGTTCACATCCCGGACCTGGTGGCTTAAAACTCACGCCAGGCACGTGTGCGTGCGTGCCCAAGATCCCGAGAGGAGAATGGAGGAGAAGAGATTACGGCATGGCCATCCCCCCTGGGGGGTGATTTCTCACTTTCTGTCTCTCTGTCTCTCTCTGTCTGGCGAGCACACACACCCTATAGCAAAAAACCTCTCAAAAAAAAAAAAAAAGAGAGAGAGAGTTGGGGTAAAACTAGGGAAATATTCCAGATTAAATGAGATTGAAAAGACATTGAAGGACCAGCAGGTGGCGTGGTAGTTAAGGGCACTGGACAGTGCCCTTAACTCACATGGCAGACAGTGGTTCAAGTCCCGGACCTGGTGGCTTGCTTTCTCATTTTCCCTCTCTCTCTTCTCTTACTCTGTCCCTCTCTGGTCAAATTAAAATAAACAAACAAACAAATAAAGTTAAATAAAAAGCAATTCTTTTAAAATAAATAAAAAGACATTGGGGCCAGTGGGTGGCTTGGTAGTTAAGGGCACAGGACTCACACATGGCTGACCGAGGTGCGAGTACCAGGCCGGGTGGCTTGCTTTCTCACTTTCCCTCACTCTCTCTCTCTCATTCTGTCCCTCTCTGGTCAAATTAAAATAGACAAAGTTAAATAATTCTTTTTAAAAAATGACAAGTAAATATAGTACATAATCCTGGATCAGATCTTTGTTCTATTGGGGTACCATTGAAACAACCAACAAACTTAGCAATAAGTGGCAATAATCTAGCAAATTAATTTTCTGATTCTGATGGTTGTACTTGATCATAATAGAAAATGTCCTTGTATGCAGGAAATACATACTGAAGTATTGAGGAATAATGGAACATTCATGTTGGCAACTTACTCTCAATACTTCAGGGAAGGAAAAGTACTTACATTTACATTTTTATTATTCTTATAAAAAGTTATAAGAATAATAAGTTTGAGATTTTTTTTTTTTAATCTACAACTTAGGCCACCCAGTGGCATGGTGGGATCACAGAATCAGGACCCATATGGCTGACAGCATGGTTTGAGTTGCTACCTAGCAGCCTGAAAACACACTGGGTGATCCCAAAGGAAGGAAGAAATGGAGGAGAGGGGATCGCAGCATGACCATTCCCCATTTGGGATACATTCCTACCCTCAACTCCCATGCACACATGCACATACTCCCTGGGAAACTGAAAAAGAAAGAAATCTACATTTCAATAAACTACTCCTGAAATAAAAGATGATGTGAAGTGAAAGACATACATGTAAGAACTCCATTGTTTGAGGATTCTACTATAGGATGAGCTTCAGCCAACCAATAGATGATTGGGGAAACTGGAAAAAGAAACTGTTGAGATGGTATAAAACAAAGATCTGACTGTTTACGTAATAGCTAGAAGCAAAAGAATATAATTTACAGTTAACAAGCCAAGAAGACATAGCATATTTAAGGTTACAGTAGCAAATAATAAGAAAAACACTGCTTTACTGATTTGAAAACACATTTTCCCCCACATTTTAGTATCTCTGAAATCAGAATGTGCCTTATATGGTATATAATAGTTTAATTGACAGTATTTTTCCCCTAAATAATGTATCAAATAATAGTATGACTTAAAATAGACACCATCTCTTAGATACAATAAAATATGGTAATATTATTGGGACCAGCAATTAGCGTAATGGCTATGTCACTGGACTCCCATGTAGTCGACCGTGGTTCACGTCCTAGACCCGGTGGCTTAAAACTCACGCCAGGCGTGAGGAGAATGGAGTAGAAGGGATTGCGGCATGGCCATCCACCCTGGGGGGTGATTTCTCGCTTTCTGTCTCTCCGTCTCTCTCTGTCTGTCTGGCGAGCGCACGCGCTCTAAAACAAAAACCTCTCAAAAAAATGGTAATATTATTAAATACAACTTGATAGTAGAAGCAGGAAGATGAGGAAAAAGAAATTAAAATTATACATTTTCTTATTGACCCTGAAAAGGGACTAAAGCAATGAAAGAGAGGACTAAAAGTGTATAAAAAGATTCACAAACTGAGGCCAGGAGGTGGCATGGTGGTTAAGGCTCTGGACTCCCACATAGCAAACCACAGTTTGAGTCCCACACTCAGCAACATGAAAATCATACTAGACAAGCATATGGTATAATGGTTACATTGTTGGATTCACAAGTAGTCAACTGTGGTTCTAGTCCCAGACTCAGCAGCTTAAAATTCATGCCAGGTGTATATACGTGCGCAAAATCCTGAGAGGAGAACAGAGGAGAAGGAACTGTGGCGTGGCCATCCCCTCGAGGTGATTTCTCACTTTCTCTTCTTTCTAGTGAGTGCACACACCCTATAGCATCAATCTCTCTTAAAAAAAAAAGAGAAAGAAAGAAAGATCAATCATGCTTGACGCTTGTGTGTACATGCCCAAAATCCCGAGAGGAGACTGGAAGAGAAGGATCACAGTTTGGACGTCCTCCCTGAGGGGCGATTTCTCACCTTCCCTTCCACTGTCTGTCTCTGATGAGTGACATACACTATGACAAAAATGTAAAAAGATTCACAAAGACAAATCACTAAAAAATACATGTTTCTAAAGTGCAGAAGTACCAACACAGAAAAAGAGAACAGACATGAAAGACTTAAAATATAATGTAAAACAATGTAACTGTGGGCCTATCAACACGTAAGATTTTCAGATTCATGGGCCCAGTAGTTGGAGTGGTTGCAAAGGCAGCTGGTTTCCCACAGGGCCAACTACAGTTCAAGTCCCGGACCTGGTGGCTTGAAACTCATGCTGGTCAGAAGTGCGTGCATACCCAAAATCCCAAAAGGAGAATGGAGAAGGGATTGCAGCATGGCCACCACCCCTGGGGGGGAGGGGGGCGTGATTTCTCACTTTCCTACTCTCTGTCTCTGAGAGTGCAGGCACGCTATGGCAATAAATAAATAAGATTTTCAGATTCAATGACAAAGCAAACACAGTCCTATGCTATATTCTGTGCAATATACACCTAAAGTGATTCAGAAATTTTAAACATAAAAGCATGAACAAAGGTTTAGCAGTCAAACAAAGTTGTTAAGGGACACAATATG